CGGGTCGTGGGCTGTCGAAGAATTTTCGGCAACCTTATATAGTGTAGGCTTTTTGCATAGGACATGCAGTAGGTATATCTCGACAAGTACACCCAATTGTATATCGATTTTGTTTGAACGGAAGACTCAAATGAATCTCTCGTTTGTGATATCGTTAAGTAAAGTAACAGCGCAAGTAGTATAGCCTAGGGCAGAGGACTACTTTGTGTAAATTAGCTCATTTACACCAAAAACAGCCGGTAGAGTCTTTGGACTGTTCCAGACGCAAACCGGTTGTTAGAATAACGAGATAACAAAAAGAAATCACACTTTACACGTGGGCCTCAAGCACTTTACAAAACAGTGTATATGAGGCTAGTAAAAACAGGAGCGGTCGTTTGATCGACAGAGCGAAGAAAAGCATGTTCCATATTGTTAGTTTGCGAAAGTTCACTCTCAGCAATCACACAAATAGAAGTCTGTTCGGGTTTGTACTGGTAGTCCACTAGTTGAATATCATGGTTCGTTGGGAAGGTTGGGTCTGTGAGCAGGACGGAAATCACCCAAGCACACCGAACCAAGCAGCTGATTTACCGGGGTCACGCTGATGATTTACAATAAGGTTGAAACAGCTGTACAGTGTTTTTTAGCGTAGATTGGCTTCACTTGCGGGATAATATCTCCGTCTTACTACCAGAGGGGGAATTAATAAGAAATAATAAGAGGCCGTCGCTCGAGGGATCACTCGGCCCGCGGATTCCGCTCAACACTTCAGGACAGATGGACCTGTTATTGGCATCCCAAATAACATGACATTTGTGAGCGAAATGTACAGCTTCTGTTCAAAAGTTAAATCTGAAGGCAGAAGAGTGCACCGTCACATTGTCTTTGCTTAGTCAGTGCAGGGTGAAAAACCATCAGCTGGAAAAATTCCAGACAGTACACCAATTAAATCATGATCTTCGACCCAGACGAGCTCAAATCAAACGCATTTGGTCATCTAACTAATGCCAGAAAAGGATTAATCCTCTTAATTATTTTCAGCAATTTTGCCCAAAGTCTATATCCTGTAAAGAAGTTTCAAGCGCTTGCAAATAAAGTTTTAAAAAGTATTATGAAGATCCAAATTGAGGGCCGACGCGCTTTTCTCATGACTCCAAGCCTTTCCTCTGGTTGCAGTCGTGAAGACAACAGTACCCAATGACAAGCAAGGTCAAGCACAAGGTCACGCTGGCGTCAGAACTAGATGGGCTAAAGGTAAACAGATGCCTCGCCACACGCTCATCACGACTACCCGGAGAGCAATGAGCTTTTGCACCATGAGCTCATGAATAAACCGACGTCTTTGATCCCGGCGTCATCAACTGGCCCCCTTGTGTTCGACAGAATGCCTCGTCAGACTTCCGTGGCCGTCTTATGGAAGACTCCTCAGCGGTCGTGGTTGACAGGTGATGGTTAATGTCGACAGTTTGAACTGGCAGGCAAGACACATTTGGGTTCACAGTTTTCTTGAACAGGAACGAAGCGATGACATCCTGGGGCAGATACCTAAGACCTGAATTCTCCCAACAAACCAGATGTGAATATTAGGGTGGGTTCATATGGACAAAACCACTTCCGAGTCGGCTGAACTCCTGACTGATAGCCATGGAGTGCACTTATCGGGTTTCCAAAAGCCCGAAAGACGAACAAACCAAGGGGCTAATTAACGTATTCATACAAAAACCCTTCTGGCTTTAGCGCGAAGCGAAGTTATTCATCTGGACTGATATAAGCAATTTTGGCCTTGGTGTCTGCAGGAGGTACAGCCCAGAGTAGGACTGAATATGCATTTAGCTGACATGTTCGGAAAGAAAGAAAATATGTTCGACATTAAAAAAAACGAGAAATAAACTTACCGCCAGTAGAAGTCGAAAGGACTAAAAGAATGATTGGAACACCGCAGAGGACCTGAATAGGACAGGATATTCAGTTCGAAAATCCGTTTCTTTTGGCCAGAGAAGGAATACTGTATAAGGCTTGACCGATGGAGCAACGTCGATTAGCGTGGAAGACGTACAGAAAATGTTGATGAACCGTCCTGGGATTACCTTCATCCAGAACGGCTGCACAAAATGTAACAGAAGCCTGTTTATATCAGTTTGCCCTTCAGGTGATCTCGAAACCAAATTGATGTTACACCAACAGCTCAATTCTAGGTGCTCTGTTCGAGGTTGCAACGGCAAGGTGGTGTCTCGAAGTTCATTCGAGTGGTTCTGCACAGTAACTATCTTTCAGTGCAACAAAAAAATCATCACCCGTTTGAGTTTTTTTCAACTCTGCAGAAGAGTGTTTCCACTAATCGAAAAACTACTCAAGTCAACAGAAAGGTGTAAAGTGGAGGAATTATTACTACTTCATTAATGGTTTACAAATGTGATATAAAAACAATGGATATGAAGATGACTGTGGGTCACAGAGAGTTTCTCGGTAATTTGCATGATATGTATTTGGAGAGAGCATATACCTAGTCGATCGTGGGATGTTGAAACTAGTCATAACAGTGAGACATCTCAAGTTCTTCCCCTACCGAACATCTATCCATTTCACCGTGATCAAACGCCTTTTGCATAAGGACACTGGTTTATGCAAGTGCAATCGATGGTGCACATGACTGGGTTGACAATCGCCATGTGTGAGAGAGGATGACCAAATGATTCAGATATCGGAGTTTATGTTTTTTGACCGAAAGCATTCATTGGCAAAGCGGTAAAACTGCGTGAGGAACTGGGTACGCTGAAGTATAACTTCTGATTACAGCTGAATTAGTTGCGGCCCAACACTATGTGTCTAACAGTCTGTGTACAATTCGGATCCGTCATGGCTACCACTGTTAACCTCAAGACTAGTCAACTCTAGGTATAAATTAATAGTACTTTTTCCCCGCCTAGGGCTCATTAGGCATGGTTGTGTTGCCGTACACTTGCATGACACCAGATTTGGTCTCGCAATCAAACAGTTTCTTTTAATAAGGAAGTTGACCAGAATTGACAGCACAATATCCGGAATATTGCTTGGAGTAGCACCAAGTTTTCTGTAGGCAAAACTGGGGAAAATATTTTCCATTGGCGTTGGCCCTTTGGTTAGAAGAACTCCGTTATGTGAAATCGTTGGTTAATTATGACACTGCAGCGCGAGCGGTATTTCCTTTGGCGTTCCGAATAAGCCAGTTAAGTATATCATTGAGGTATGTAAGGAAAACAATTGTTTCGAATTTAAACAAACTCTCTGATTAGATGCAGGATTAAACCCGCAAAGGTCACAGGGTATGAATCAGAGGAGTTAAGTTAAAAGGCCACCTAAACATCGATCACTTGAAACACGCGCGAAATATCCAGTGAGACTACCCAGTAGCCAATCATGACAAGGCAGCCCCTTTAGAAGCACATACGAACTCGCGCACACCATTGCTCAACGCACAACTACCGACTTACAGCGTCTCTTCACAACGGGCTCGTGATTTTGCCGCGGATAGTGACGAAAACGTTGCAACGAAATAGCCAAACTGAACAATTTGATCGAGAACGTGTAAACGAATCATTAGTCAACTGGGGCCCAATCTTCGCATAAACTGAATTGATACAACCGATCCTTCACTCTATAAAGACCACTTTTTTTCGTTCTCTAAGACTGGTCTTTACCTCGTAGCAGACTGTAAGAACTGACGTGATCTTTTTTGACGCAGCACATCTTATACAGTCACTAAAACATTTTCGTCAGCCCACTACAGTTTCACCCTTCTTGGGGTTTATCTTGCACATGTGTTTTCTACTTGGACATCAAATAGCACGGGAAGTACGTTCATTTACAAACTCAATTTGTGTTAACCGGAGATTCAGACGAGTCTACCACACATACAGCTTGATTTTCAATTGAGTGTACTTCATCGACTGTGGTGGTGGTTTCGCTTGACTAACTGCTCATTCACGATCCCTCTCTCCACCTTTATTCCTTAATTCATTAGGATATGCACAAACATATTTTGCCTAAAATGGTAAAAAAAGGACGAATAATGGGGAATCATTCAGCTGTTTGAGCAGCCACTCTTCTATCGTCTGAATTTCAAAAACGTTTGGAGTTCACACACAAAAGGGGGACGAGTGTGGCGGGAATACAGATACGCCTATTGTTACACCCACGCCAAACGCGACCCGTCACGATTGCATCCTGATGCGATCATATCCAGTAGCCAACCAAATAGACACCACTAGTGAGCAGTCTCCGGTTGTTTGAACGGAAAATTTTCGAATGGAGCGGAATAGCTGATTGCTGATGTTTGTAATCTGTAGTAGAAAATGTTCTGCTAGGGCAGATAGAACTGCTGTTCAAACAGGATACCAAGTGGAACTAGAAGCGTACTCGAATTTTTCGTAAGGTTTATTTCAGCGGCGCTTAACATTTCGTAACCCTGGATTTAATTGGTCTCTCTATCTACTGCATTCTTTCTAGTAGTTGGGTCGCAAAAAACAGCCCAAAAGCACGTCCCTTTATTGAATAACTTATTCTGACGAGAAATACACTAATTTGCAAATCAATTTGGTTTTCACGAAAGACTCAACTGAATCTCTCGTTTATGATATTCTACAACTGAATGTGCTGCACACAGGCCGCCTCATGTTTCAGTTGGCACGATATTCGAGATATCGCAGTATATTTTCATAAAGAAAACTACTCAACACATTCGGTTGTAGAAGACAGACGGTATCGAACGACGGTACCACCAACTGTCATCAACTAAACCGCTGGCGCAGAAGTGTAAGACACTTTCTCATCTTACTGTATGCACGACAGCTAAAAACGACATTCATTCTACTCTCTTATGTATGTTCATCGAGACCGTGTAATCACGCCTCCTGAAAAGTGTACCTCCCCAAAAGCGCAGTTTTGATAAGTCTCAAGGAAATGCATTCTTCAGGAGAGAGGTGGCACTGCATTTACTTGTTCCTCCAACTGACCAGATCGCCGTAACACAAGTGAAAAACAGTTCGGACTCAACTGTTATATTCAGAACGTGACAGCACACAATATAAACCGGGAAACTAGGCACAAACGCCCGGAGCAGGAACTGGTGCATTATCCGCAGGATTTTTCGATTCCGGATTCTTAATAGTCTCATCCACACTGAGAATCAAACAGGCAGCTTCTGTGGCAGATGTGATTGCATTGCTTTTAACCAGGGCCGGTTCCCACACGTTATTCTTGAAATTATCGGAGACGCGTTCGTTTTCAATATCAACACCATACCACACATTGTTGTCGCCATCGGCTTCTGAAACAAACGAAAAAGGTGGAAGTCAGCATACCTCAAGTGAGGATGAATCACAGCAGACCCTGGCGGTAATGACATTAATCTCTCCCAAGGTCCAAAATAAGTCGCTAGGAAGTGGATAGATATATATCAGGCCAGAAAGCACATGTAGCACTGTTAGCTAACAACTGGTAACGTCTGTAATCACGGTGGTACACATTCTCATGCAACGGATGGACAAAGATCAAATTGACCTTTTAATCATAGACAACAAAGCTGCTGGCGTGGCACAACAGTCCTCCAGGACAACACACAGCGGAGAATACAACTGTGGCAGAATTACCGCATAAGGAGTCTCGTCAAGAGAAAACAAACTCATACGGGAAGTGCATTTGCTTTGACAATGAACGAATAACTCCCACAGAACCCATGTGGCATTCCTAGTATTCTTATGCTAAACACCAGATAAGATAAAAAAGGAGAGGAAAACCAAAAACTCCACTGTTCATTTCACCAAGTCAACACATAGTGGCGACCAGTTAGAAAGCTTCTACTTGGAAAAGGTAAAGAATGTTGGATAAAGATTAGCATCGCAACTGGCGTTGAGGCATCAGGCCAGAAGAGTAAATTTCCAGGATGCTGATAAGTATATGGAGGGTTTAAAAGTCCGAGGTTTGAAGCAAGGAACTGTCATCTACGCTGCTTACTGCACCAACTTCAAGAGATCAGAATCGTCGTATAGACGTAAGGCACCTTCCGGCGCCTAGCTGCCATGCCATCCGAAGGAAGCACGAGGGCTGGGATACTGCCAGGTTGCCCAAGCCTAGACAGGGGAAGTCGAGTGGCGGAGGTCGGATTCGAACCGCGGACCTTCAGGTTAGTAATCCGCGCTCTAACCACTTCGGCCATCTCGCCGACGTATAGACGTAATACACTACTTATAGGGTTGCCGAAAGCTCCTAGGCGGTTCACGACCGGTTCCGCCCTTGTTAGAGCACATCCGATAAGTGCAATCACAGAGTTTCCGTCAAACTTATGTTCCACTTGAACCCGAATCGGACAGATTCCGACAAACACACTCAGTTGGATATCTATTTGGTTTTAAAGGAGGCTCACTTGGGACCCAGTTGAATCTCTCGTTTATGGTGTTCTTACAAGGGAACTGCATCCAGCTGACGAGCCCCAAAAAGGGCGAAACCGATTGTGGGCTGTCGAAGAGTTCAGCAGCCTTATTAATGTATTACGTTTATAAAATGTATAGCGACTTCCAGAAACAAGAGGCGACCTGGTGCAGCACACTCAGTTGCTTAGGAGTACCATAAACTAGATATTCAGCTGGGTTGCAAGTCAGTCTCCCGTCAAAACCAAATTGATATGCAAATGAGTGTATTTATCGAGCTCAGAAATACAGTATGTTATAGTTATAGTGATGACATTAACCTAAGAAAATTTAGCTGGTCACGTTATTTTTCCCCACAAACTTGGCCTATTCACTATCTACGAAGCCTTTGGTCGGGACGCATGTCTCAACAGGCATTTAGCTCTCGATTCACTCTGCTGTGAAAATTGTGCGAACTATCAACTAGGGTCGTGTACACTTCGCACCACGTCTAGCAACTCGATGCGAGCCACCACATTCACATTCAATTGCGCCTCCAACTTTTATTGCAGTGGAAATCCCGTGGTTGCTATATTCGGTTCTCATATATCCCGGGTGGATTTATAGGCCTCATGCACATAGGCATCCACATCACAAATTGTTAAAAAAAATCGTTACGTACGCCTGTGTTTCAGTATTCACAATGTCGGCGACAACAGTTACTCTAAACTGTCCACTTCTTTTTGTCATCAGCACCTCGGTAGTGAGCTCAAAGTCACGAGAGCATGATTGGTGTGTTGAAAAGATCTATCCGTGCACCTGGTAACCGGCAGTGGTCCAGTGCTGATTTCACGCCTAACATAAACTGCAGTCAAGAAATACACTCATTTGGAAATCAATTTGGTTTTCACGAGAGACTCAACTGAATTTCTAGTTTATGATATTCTAAAACTGAATGTGCTGCACACAGGCCGCCTCATGATTCAGTTGGCACGATATTCGAGATATCGCAGTCGTGGGCTGTCGAAGAGTTTTCAGCAACCTTATGAGTAGCTTCCTTTAAGAATAATCTTGCATAGCATACGAAATAAGTGAAGGTAAGTTATTAGGATCATCAGTTTTCCATGAGTTCCGTAGCTGCAGTTCGACTTAGGACCCTAGAAGATTTCAGCCTATCATCCGAGTCATTGATCTTGTGGTCAATTTTTGTTTGAGACTCTGAACTGAACTGACCCTTACGTCAGAAACGGTGCGGAAAGTTATTAGGGTCAATCCAACCTACGTGCCTAAATGAGCACGCTACTGAACGGCCCATGCCAGAGAAATGGTGCATACTTCTATCATTTCTTGGGCAGACCAGTCTTGGAATAGAACGCTACTTCGTAATTTGTGCAGTGAATCCAAACTTAGCTGCTCCAACCTCTATGGTTCCATGAATGTTTTGCTCAATCTTTTGCACTGTTCATTCATAAGTGAAGAATTTTTACCCAATAAGTGTTGTTTTTTCATTCACAGCGCTCAAGGGTCCGCGCAAGCATGTTGCGGTACGTTGTATAATAAGGCAGGAGTGCACGCAAGAGGACTGCTTCAGGTTTCCATACCAATGATCCCACAAGTGCATCAAATACAAGGCGAAGTCCCTTGAGAACGCTCGCGAAGTGGAACCAGAACTACCCCTTCTAAAGGGCTTCGTGGATACACAGTTGAATGTCCTAGATAAACCAACGTGCTTGCCTCAGGTCTACGTCATATGGTCAGTGATAAAGACTGGTCTGAGCACCGTCTGGTTTCTACAATTACTAGCATTGCGACCGCAGGCTGTTCCCTACCACTCTCTTAACAACTGTAATTGTCATTCAGAAAAAAGTACAGATGTACCAAATATTCTCTCTTCTCACTAAAAACAAATTTAAAAGCACTTTTTTCATATCAAGTATGCGTCCCGTCATGTCGAAGGAAGGCCTACATCAACATATAGATGACCCAAGGAGGATTTTTGACACAATGCTTCAAGCCGCTTTAAGCTGAGCAATCCATCTGGTGATATGTTTACCTAATAGACGTAGAAAGATGGGACAATAACGGATGGCCTTACGGGAATCTACACCGTCGCCTGCGTTATAGTGAAGCTAAACCAAAGGATAGAGAGGAATATGAAACCTCACATGATTTCTGTATTGTTGTGAGCATATTTCGGTTCACCTGATGCTCGAACAGGGCCAAACATGGCTAATCTAAGCCCCGAGCAGTAGACACGAGGATCAGTTTGGTCATTGAGGCACCAATGTTCGACATTAGTATTAGTGCTGATGTTTGGAAGTGCGACAAGTGTTCATCCACTTCAAGAATTTCAGCGTCAAAGCAACATACTGCACCACCTCGTCAACGGTTGAACTCAGCAGACAGCAAATCCAGTCCAGGCCCCTTTTCCAGGGGGATGATGGGTAACACATGACAATGTTTAATGCACTCTGTTCCGGTTGGAAGGGTGCAGAGATTTCGCACTCAAATTCAAGGTAAATTCAGAAGTATCCACTGTATAGGAGTTTTTATCAGAGGCTTACTATATTTTTAAATTCTATTTTTTAATTAAGAAACAATCTTTTAACTGTAGTCACTGTAGCATTTCGGCGCACTGCGGCCGCGCGACCCGAATGAAGCATGAGGCCTAGGATACTAGCCTTTACGAAAGATGGATTATTCAAACGGGGGTAGCAGGCATCCATGAGGACAGTGAACCCGGGGACGTTCATGTTCCTACCTATCAGGCTATCTTGGTATGTGGTCTCAACCTAACGGAAGTGACTAATGTTAACACAACATCTAACAACAACCGTTTGACTCTATGACTATCCACATCCAGATAATAACACGAGTGGTACCGTCTAGCAGATTTAAAGAGAGCGCATCAAAATTCAGGTCCACTATCGTCAATCAGAATCAAGCGAACTAGATGTTTGGCAATCAACATGACCGGACGAAAATGTCGCAAGAGAAAACGTGAAAGTTACTGAATAAATCGAGAGTCACTCATCAGCGTTGGGTCTAGAGCACTGCAGGGATGCAGTTGTCACGGTTTTGAGTGAAAAGTGTTCACCATTTTCAATCTGTGGGCGAAGCATGGTAGTGATAGCTCAAAAGTAGGGAAAACAATAGGGCTGATCGCCAGAAAACACAACTCTAATCCCAGTCAGCAAACAAACACCTCAAACAATCCACGAGCCTACGGAAAATAGCGATGAGAATGAGCAGTATGAATGTACAAAAGACCTACTGTTTGCGTGGCAGTGACGAAGCTGATTGAGAATAGTGGTCGCGTCCAGTCCTGCATTATCACACAACTGTCTAGGGATCACCTCAAACGCTCGTGCCATGGCAGTGATTAGAAGCTGTTCTCGACCACGAATTTCACGCGCCGCATCGCGCAGATAACCACTGAGCTCCATCTCGATAGCACCACCACCTTCATTAAACGGAAAATTGGAAATCTTGTGTACAGGGTGCCGTTAGATGATCGATGACGTATACAAAACTAAGATACCCAAACAAAAAACTGGGTGCATATGTGAACCTAACAGATAAGAGGCCTAAACATCCGAGTGGACACCGGTCAGCTGCAGCACCTTTTCATGCCTAAACGCGAAGCCACCAGGTGGCAGGAGGGCTGGGATATTGCCAGGTTGCCCGAGCCTAGGTAAAGGAAGTCAAGAAGCAGAGGTCGGGTTCGAACCACGAACCCTCCGTCAGTAAATTTGCGCTTTAACCACTGAGCTACCTCATCCCCGGATCGGACATGAAGGCAAATGGTAAAAAACAGAGGAAATGGGAATTCAAGATCGAGTTCCGGTTAGATGAAAGCTAGTATTTCGTTACAGACCGCACATGATCGGCAAAGATACAATTCCAATGTAGTACTGTGTACTTCACACACCGATGAGACTGATTAGCCACTCTATCGTTCCGTGTCTCCAGCTAGGTGCAGGGACAGGTATCTGAACCCCATCGTGAAAGCTGAACAGCAGTAACAACAAGAATTTTTAGAAACATCATTCCTTACTGCCAGGTCAAATTCTGTTCACCCCTAGGTTTCCGCAACTTCGAACTGGGCAACAGAACGGTGCACGTCTCGACAGGCGATAACTCGGCTTCACCGTGCAGATTTTCAGTTTCCCGATTCATCAAGTAAATGGGACGATCCAAAATCACTGCCATCTCGAGTGACCGTGAATAACGCATCCATGGTACAAGACCTAAGAGCTGGAGGTAGCTCAGAGGTTAAGTTTCGTGGTTCATCTACAAAAATGAAGACGACGTCGTCTGAGTGCTCCAAATCGACAACATTCTCACCAGCAAGGATTCGCGTGCCACCGTAAGACGACGAAGAATCAGTGACGCCAGAAGCCTTGTTACAACGGGACTTCAACTAACACCTGTGCTTACCGCATTCAATGCAGCCATCCTATGTAAAAATGGGTACTATCATCTAATCACCCCAGTTGGCTCGACAGTCTCTTCTCTCAGATACATTCAAATTGGCTGGACATGCATTGATTAGGGAAGTTATAAACATCCATGGAAAGAGGAGCTCGAGGGTCGTCAGAGTCAGGAGCACTATGACGCATGAGTCGAGATTTACACCGATAATTCTGAGGTTGGAGGGGTTCCATATTCACAATCCACCTTTCGATTGAAGGCCAGGATTACGAATTGGATGTAGCAGTTGGCCGACTGAATTGCCGTTCGAAGTATTGTGCCCAGCGGTCAAAAGTTCTGCTCTGCTGGATACCTGGGAGCCATTTTGGTCTCTTAGAGTTCTACTGACAAGAGGCTCTCTAGGACCAAGTAGTGTTGGTGCGGAGGAGACTTTAAGCAACAGAAATAAAAAATCGATGGGGGTAAGATGTAGTATGTTTAATTTATATATCTTCACACCGAAAATTAAACAGTTAACTTATTCAGTACAAAGACCCGATCACCTAATCCCGACGCCGACTGGCCCACCCTCCACGCACCAAGAGATAAATAATGTCTCGAAGGTGTGATTCTCGGGGATGTCACAAAATGTAAGCCGATTTAACACCTATGAGAGCCGATTAATATTAACCCGAGGCAAAATTCCGACAGCCCAGAAGAATCAATGACGCCAGAAGCCTTGTTACAACGGGACTTCAACTAACACCTGTGCTTACCGCATTCAATGCAGCCATCCTATGTAAAAATCCCGACCTAAAGCTGCCACCTTGACGTGGTGGTCGGGCTTCAGTGCTGCAATGATCCCGCGGGCTACACTGGCTGGAACTTCGTTCCACAGGGTCTAACCATGCCAGGAAGGCCAAAGAGGAGCAGCCAGACCAAGAGCAGCGAGACCCCGCACTACGAGTAATCGTGGTACGAGGCGGTCTGGGGATAAAGTCGTACTGTCCTCTGCGACAGGAGTGTGAAGGCAGTAAGGTGTTTCCCCCAGGCGACCAGCATGTCCATATTTATGGAAGCAGCGATGCTGCCTTCCCCCGAGGAAGGACGGGTTAGAAAAGGTCGGCCCCAAAAACCGCACACTCCGATCGCCCAACGGTTGACCGTGACCGCCGGCGCATTATCC